CATTACTGTTAAGCATAATAACACTATATCACAAGAAATTAATATGATTTTTCTGTGTGGTGATGCTATCAGTGTTGTTATCAATGTTTTATGTTCCAATACAAAAGAGGGTTAATACACCTTCTTTTGGTGCATTTACAACTGCAGAAGTACGAGAGCCCATTTAAAGCTCGAGTCCTCATGGCTTCTGCATTTAACTCACAAAAGATGCATAAGCGATATACTTGCATAACAAAATGCGTCTTAATTGGCAAACCTGTGTTTCGTATAAAGAAACCATTGCTTATATCATGCTTTCCTCATGTTTGAACCTTGCCATTTGACAGTTATGTTTTGATAATATAATTATCGGGGCCGTCATTGCTTTAAGCTGTTTTTACATTGCGTCCCAAATCACGCATATAAAATGTGCAGGTCAAGAGAATATAACCATTTATGCACGTTTCCTTCTGTGGTAATGTATACAAGAGTGTGCAGTTTTATACAATACTATTTAAGATAAAAGTTTTTGCGTTTCACATTTTTTTCCCTTTACATTCTTACATTAATATCTTATGTATACTCGTTTTGTTCAGTATACATGTACATTTTATTATGTTCAGTAAGGCCAACAAATCCTTTAACATTATTATAAATAAGAAATATTCTGTATCACGGAAAAATTTTCCTTTGATTGTAAGGAAGAAACGATTAAGAATGCACTTTAATGCTCAATGATTGCCTGCTACAGCGTGTTTGAAATACATAAAGCTTTTGGCATAATTCTATTAAAATTATGCATTTCATACTGCGTAACCTGTTAACAAATTACAAAGAGGTTCTTGTATGTTTCCCCCTAGAGTACAGTCCTGGCGTTCTACACTCGGATAAAACTGCCATTATGTAACTTTATACATGAAGTTTATAATTTCGTATCTGCGCATCAATTTTAAGTATATGTAATTTAGTATTTTGTATGTTCTGTTACAGACGACAATTATGACATTTCCGCGCGTATTCTTTGCGCAATTTAACATTTCCAACAATGCAACGTTTTAGATTAATAAGTCAATTGTGTTTTTGATATGTTTAATTGTTCCCATGATACATCTATCAATTTAAAGCGACGAAGCAATTGCTGAGTGATCTTTTTCTTTAATATAAAATATTTCTAATATGAGCATCATTAAAAATCCAATTTCAAAGTATGCATTGGGAATTCATAATATGTATATACGGTTGTTTGAATAATCCCTTGCGCAGACAGAAAAGCGTACCATAAATTGTATGGAATGTTTGCTGCTGATGGTTTTTTCTAAACGACTGGATAACCTGTATCAAAGGTTTTTAAGAGCATAGCACTAAAGACAAATAGTATCGTTCACATGAGAATTATATACTTAAAACTTGATATGGCATAAAATATATGAAAAGTTGCAATATCACTGTTATTGTTCATTTAGCAGCTAATTTCATGTCTTGGTGAATAAGCCCTTGCTTCATAAATATCACTTATATTGTTATAGAACTAATTTGTGTCATGTTTTTGCTATAGCCACCTGATTATGATGTACCATGATTGATACTAGAATCGTGACGTTGTTATTTCGATATTTCCCAATTGCACTTTTGACTTTTCATCATCCTACCTTCGGCTTTGTACTATCGTAATCTCGTTATTCCGACTTTTCACCATCGTTATTGTTTCGCGATGACCCTAACGGGACACCGTACGTTTTCATTGAATTACTGCTAGAATATACCACCGAAATGCAATTGAATCTGGACGTGTGACACATGGCTGGTTTCAAACGCACAGCAATTTGCTATTACATTGCTTGTTGCCAGTTGAAAAACAATCGTAAACCAAAGTTTCTAGAATCAAACGATATTGTTCGACATAACATAATTATTATGTTTATCTTGTATAAAAAGCGTCATTTCGCAAGGTAGGGTAATAAGGAAATTGTCTGCCATTTATCCTCCCTTGCATATGTAGATGATTAATGTGGAAAAGTTCAAAAAGCATGAACTTGTCATGTAACAATTTTTTCTAGGAATGAAGCGAGTAAAAAAGCCCAGATTTTTGCATCGATCGAATTGATATAACTGTAATCTGACTGTAACAATATGATAACCCTTATAGTATAATACCTATAAATCCAAGACCTTGTAACAGAGTAACCAATGTCCTCCGCCTTAAGGAAGTTTTATAAGAAGCACACAATAGTATTATTTTGAAAGTATGAGTGTCAGTGCAAAATCTTGATAAATGCACAGGCAACAATAAATTCATCATAGAAATATAATGAAATAACTGCTGTGTACGTGTCAATAGAAATATATTTGTGGGGTTTGTTTCACTTAAAATAAGTATATGTACATATAGAGAAACAATTAAAAAATATTCAAGATGGAGTAACGATGCAATTCCTTTCGCTGTTATCTATCTATATTTAGAGTTTCGCTGTAATCTCTAAATTAAATGCATTTTTCCAGGTTTTCTCTGGACAAGGAAAATAAGACCATGTATAGATTTGAACTCTTAAAATAATGAATTAATTGTTATTCTCTATATCTTTATTTTTCTTATAATGTAAATGACTATATGCGACAATAATATTAATTTGTTAAAGAAACAACTGAATGACAGTCAGAAAAACGAACGGATAAACAAAATATGAAATGCGAATTTAATAGTAAATTTAAGTAGTAAATTTTAATCTACAAACGGCAACAAGCAATGTCCAGCTTAGTGATTTTAAAACGCGATTCTAATTTACAGTAGAGATATGTCAAATTGCCGTTTAAATAAATAGAGGATATTTGTATTTGTTTAGTAATATTTGTGTAAGATCGGAATATAATTTACCGAGTGAGCACCGAAAGGTATAATTCACGAGTGTCCCAGGCACGAGTGAAATATGAACTTTTCTTGTTCACGGGGTGAAATATATTTCGATCTTATACTTCTCAAATTTTCTTTTTATTAAATGCAAAGAAACGTTCAGAAAAAAAAATGAAAAGCTCGCCAAATAATAATACATTTACGACGTCACGACCAGTACTGTGCACAATGGTATATCACTGAAATAACGTAACGGACTAAAACTCGAAACAGTGAAAAAATATTTAATTGATATTTTCAGTTTTAGATAGTGAAATATCACTTTTATATTTCACTGATATATTTCTATAAACCACCGAAAAGCATGTAATAAAACTGATAATTATATACTTTTGAATGAAATATTGAGAAATATTGATGAAATAAAATGCGCATTTTCCGTATTATCATTGTAAAATTTATTATTCACTGCAGTGAAGCATATTTTCCGTATTGTCACTGGTTTCGTTGCTTTCTTATTAATTCAGCCAATACACAAAATTAAATGAGAAGTCTTAAGAATTGTATGATCAAAAAAGAGAAAAAAGTATATAATTAACAGAAAATTGAAGTTCTATTCTATAAATACAGGATATATTTTCATCTTGTGATTTTAGAATTACCATATTTCATTGGTGGCTACCGCCATTTATGAAATATTTATTTTCATACAACTCAATGAAAATAAATCCTGTAGTTATAGAAAAAAACATCGAATACCCTCTGTTTATTTTTATAGGTCAATCGTAAGGTCAAATATGTCACAAATGTTTATCAACAGTAAGATTACGTCACTTAACGACGTCATTTGACGACGTTTCCTAGCAATACCAGAAACAGGGCTGAAAAAGATCCATGATGAGCGCTGCAATTTGCCATTAGCTGAAATGTCCTCACAGAGTTTACCGAGGGCTACATATGCTATATATCGCGACGATTTTACCGACTCGAGCGACGAAGAATTAGAAGAGGAGGAAGTCAAGCTAACAAATACACCAAAGCAGGAAACTGAACAACTGGCAGCAGAGATAAGTACGAGTTTAGAAGACAAAGAAGAAAATCATAGAGAGTCAATGGATGTATCAGCCAATAAAGTGGTAGATAGTACAACGAAAATGAATCAAAGTGCTGAAAGCACTGATGGGGGCACAATATGTTGCATACAAAATTTCGAGATTTGTAGAGCAATCTACTTCAGGTGTTCCAAGCTGATATTATTCTTCTTTCAAAGTAGAAAAAGTGCACATTTTGTATACAATATAAAAGCATTGCCTCCAAACTCTTGTCAAAATTGAAAATCATGTACCAAGAACATACTAACAAACCCAGGCAAAAGCATAATGGATATCATATATATCATGAAAAAACATTTTAAAATATGACATAGAAATTTGTTGGGAAACTATAGTTGTAAACCAATTTTCATGTAAATGACTTCCTTATGTGAGTGAATAACAAATAAATCACTGTATTTACTATTTTATTCCAAGAAATGATTATGCAAATAGAAAATAAACAGAAAATTTTACTGTCTATTAAATATTTCTAAAATAAAACCAGGACTGTAAGAACAAACTTATTTTTTGTAGAAACCTTTCAAGCACAATACAAAATACATGTGAGAATGTAAATTGGAATGGATACATATAATGTAGTTGGCATTGAAAACAAGAGCCACTATCTAGCTTGGGCCATGCTCGGCTTTTTCTTATATTGAAAGTCAAACACATCAGTAGGAAAATATTGTAATATCAATTAGAGTACTTCTAGAAAACATAATATAAATGTATGACGTTAATTTCAAATTTGTATGTCAACACATTTAAGTAAAGGTCATAGTTGAATGATAAGTATTCTTTTGTCCAAAAATGAATCAAATCATAGACAAAAACAAAGTTATGACAATGTGAGCGAATTTCAATTGTTTAACCTTGGAGGTAATGGTCATTTAAAGATCAAAGTTACATCAGAAAAATTCAACATGCTGTTTTTGTGTTGGTTTGTCAAAACATGAATCAAATCTGTAAAAAATAACAAAGTAATGACAATTCCAGCTAACTACAAAGATATTTTTTATCAAATAATGGTCAATGCCATATATGAACTTGAAGGGCTTTTGTCACAAAAACATATGTGACGCGCTCAGCAATTTTTGGCCCAATTGAGTTTTTAATCATTGTGAGAAAAACGCTTGTAAAGTCACGCGAGTTTTCATGTCTTAATTTTTAGGGTTTCCCTTCAAAACAGAGTATCTTTGAAAGTAGAAAGAATAAAATAAACTAGAAAGAAATCAAAAAATACTTTTTGAACAGCCCTTCTCAGCTTCCACGATAAACATTTCCCAAAAATCTATATTTAGAATAAATACTCTGTGTAAACTTAGGAGTCAGGTCAACGAGTAAACACATGTAGATTCACTACCTTTTACGTCATGTTTCTGCATATTTGGAGGTTTAAATAAATATAAAGGTAAGTGCATATTTTATTATTTATGCTTTTTCTGTTCATTATTTTTTCCTGATATGTTGAATATGAATAATCATCGTATTTTTACTTTAAACAATAAAATAAATGGGACCATGACACTTGAACTGGTTTATAGAAAAAACAAACATGGCCGGCATCTAGGTCAGGTCATGACAGACACATTTTTTGGGATACATTGTTAATTGCACTCGATTTGTATTTGTCATGGTCTTTATAGAAAGTTATTGTTAACTTTTTTTCTAAATTAGACATTGATTACATTACAAAATAAATTGAAGTCCAGGCTGCAATGAAAGAAAAAATAAAACAAAAGTTGTCACTTCATTTTTGTTTACAGTATCTTTCCTACATCACTAAGTCACTATGACAAAAAATGTAACTGGACACATAAAATATTTTGCAATTTGTTTACAATGAATGAGCTTGACATAGATCTACATCAAGTAGATTTATACTGTATAAAATATTTTTAAAAAAGGAAATATATGACAAGGCTTCAGTACTGTAATTATTGACAAATGAATTTCTATTACAATTCAAGATCAATTTAGTAAAGGAAATGTTATCCCTGTACTGCATGCTGCTTTTGAAATACAATAAATAGATCTAGTACTGTGATTGAAGATGTGACCATAGATAAATATTAAAATGCATTTATTTTTATTTGGTAGTATCTTAGTGTTGTCCCGATTGTCTCTGAAAATCGATAACTAATCGGACCAACCCAAAATCGGCCACAATCGATAGTCCTTTTTAAAAATCGATTATTTTCAGTGTTCTACCACCACTGAATTGCTTATACTATATTGTTAATACTACATGTTCTTTAGAAAATTATAGTGTGTAATAACATAATATTATAAATAACATAACAATAATGACATAATACATATCTACTGTAGTTAAATTACTGATCTACAATATTTTGACCTGTTGACTAGTACTAATATTGACTGCCATAAAGTTGTACATTGTTTAATACAAAAATTGCCTGTCACAAAGTTGTATTAGGTATTTGTGTTGTAGTTTTTTTTTAATCTTACTTTAATCTTGAAGACAAGAGTTTATTCTCAAAATATGGTCACTATGGTATAAAAAAAATAGATACAAGGATTGGTACCTTAAAAGAAAAAAGGACCATAAAAAAGCGATAATACTATCGGCAGACAATCGATTTTGGTGGTCCGATTATCGATAGTGATTTTTGAGTCCGATACCCAACACTATAGTATCTACAATAAATCATATTATATTCACATTACTCATAACACATGGCATATTCTACCAGCAGGGTTTCCATTAAATTCCAAACATTGGCAGTCAAAGACTGCAACATGTATGTAATTGGAAGTCACTTTGTAGGTAAAGAACGAAAATCATTACATTTTGGGAGCCAAAATCACAGTGTAATGACTCCCAAACTTTCATAACAGAAGCCCTGCTACCAGGATATTTTTAACATTCATGAGCCAGCACTTTTTGCTGATGAAATATTTTGTGTTGTTGTTTTAGGTCTGACAGCCAACATACATTTAAGATCTTCAACTTAGTTCATCAGAGTTTTGAAGTAGATAATATGATTATCCAGCATGTTGGAGCCATATTCTTCAAGGAAATGTACTTGTAAGTGTTTTGATACTTGGTTTAAAGATCAAATGATTTACTATGAATGTAATCTTTGTATACATATGTAAATAATCATCATAAACTGACCATTCTCAACCCTTTTTATCAAATAATGATATTGATAAATTTCCTGAAATGCAGTTGAAAGTTATGTAACTTATTTGCAATTTAGCATTTTATATATGATGTCAGATGAGATCTTAAAAATATTGTTTTAAAATTACATTACTCTGTACAGTAACATGAACTAAATTTTAAGTTTATATTTAAAAATAATGCTGTATTGTTTTATGCAAATACTCTGTCAATAATGTTAAGCTCTTAAAAAATATATACATAATTTTCAGAACACATAGATAGTTCACCTATTTGCTGATGAATATACTAAACTATTGTTGGAAATGAGGCACAATGTGTGACATAGTTCTATGCCCTATTGAGCACCAGGGTTATGGAGTAAAAAAGACAATCACTTGTATCAACTGTACTGTATTGGTCAAGAAAAAAAACACTTCAATTGGGTAAGCATGTATATTTATGCAATATTCCACATTCTCTTTACTTTTGAAATAAAGAGTGCGGTGTTCCCACCACAATACATGCACATAATGTAGATTCAGATTATTTTAGTCATGTTCAAGATGAATGTTACTGCCACTTGTACATGATATATAGACTGTAATATATTACACAAGAACTTACATGATGAACAAGACATTATATGAACCCAATAGCTGTGCAACACTATACAACAATTTACTTATAGTTCATTTCTGTTCAGTCAAATATCATATACACTATATTGTAGTCAAATCATCATATACACTATATTGTTTCATTTATACTTATTCAGGTTTTTGTTATTTCAGGATGGCATGTGAGAAGTCAATGACTTGTCTATGTTTGACAGTATACCAAAAGTGAATTACATTCTCATAGAATTTGTCTTTAGAAGTATCCCTGAAAAAGCTGAATACTACAGTGGCAGGTGTTACAATATTTTTACTTAATTGTGAAACAAGTTTTATATGTGAATCACTTTTTGCTTACAAAAACTGAAGACATATGAGGAGACATAGTTGGTTTAAACAATATTTTATTTCAGCAAATATATATATATATATATACACACAATATATTACAATAAAATGCAAAAAGGATTGAGTAGAAAGCTAGAAGCTTTTTTAGAAACTCTCTCCTTGAAATGAAACAGTAGTTATTACTGATAACATTCATATATAAACAAAATATTGTATGCTTGTAATTCTAAGAGTTCAATAATAATCCAAGTACAAAAATTATGAAAATGAAATTAAATAAATTAAGATAAACATTAAGACATTGATATACATTAAAAGAAAATTTAGCAAATAGTTTTTTTTATTTTATGAAAAAAAAAGAAAAAAGGGGGAATAATAAAATCGGTATAGAATAAGTTAGAGAGAGAGAGAGAGAGAGAGAGAGAGAGAGAGAGAGAGAGAGAGTTTAAGGTTGCTTACGGTATTGGATTGTGTGGGCCTCTTTATGAGAATCTCTTTGTCTGTTGAATATAATAGTGAACATATTCAAAGACAAATTTGTTAATTTGTGGGTTGTCACTATCACCATATAAGACAAGAGAAAGTGTAGGGGTTGCATTTTCAAGTGCATTGATATTGTCAATTAGCTGTGTTCTTTGAGTTTCAAATAGTAAACATTTAAAAAAGTAGTGATATGTAGTTTCGATTTCACCACATGTGCAAAGGGGACTATTTATGATGTTTTTTGAGAATAGGTGCTCGTTTAATGAACTGCAGTGATTTCTAAGGCGTGTGTGGTGGATTTGTAATTTTCTATCTCCATAGTAAAAATGAACTGGAACCTTCCTTATATCCTTGTGAAGTTTGGATTTAAAATTGTTAAGAGTCGGTGCATTTCGCTCTTCAAGAGATAAAAGGTTCCAATCAGTAACTGTTTGAGGAACAAATGAAGAAGAAAATAGGCGAGTATTACATTGAAAGTTTCTTAGGTTGTCTGCATTTCTTAGGTTGTAGGCTGTGGTACTTCCGACATGGTTTGGAACTAATGTTGTAAGAAAAGAGGGTGATAGGTTATTTGACATTTTATAGAAAAGAGTTAATCTGTGCTTCTTTCGTCGTTCCTTAAAAGGTTGGAAGCAGGTTTCTTCATACAGATTTTGGATAGACACAAGTTTAGTACAACCAGAGATAATACGAAGAGCTTCAAGTTGGATTTTTTCGAGTTCTTGTTCGTCGTGATAAGACAAATTGTCCCAGGCAACATCCGGATATTCAAGTAAGGGTCTAATAAAGGCAGTGTAAATGATCTCCAGGGATTTTCGATCAAGCACAAATTTGAGACCTCTCATGGTACTTATTCTCTGCCAAGATTTAGTTTTTATATTTTCCACATGCTCATGCCAAGATCCGTCACTTGAAAAGGTTACACCCAAATGCTTATGACATTTTACTTCTTGGATTAGGACATTGTTCATATATAGTGGCGGATGAAACGGTTTGTTTACCTTACGACAAATAAGAAGAGACTCAGTTTTTGCTGGGTTGAAAGCCAGTCATTAGCCCATTTCGAAACTTTATAAAGGTCAGAATTTAAGATATTAGCAGATGCGTGTGGCTCATCGACAATAATGTAGAGACAAGTATCATCAGCAAAGAGTCGAATGGTTGAATTTATATCCTCAACAATGTCATTAATATATACAAGAAACAGCAGAGGACCAAGAATAGAACCCTGTGGAACACCGGAACATATTGGTAGGACTTCGGAATACGTACCGGAAAGTACAACACGCTGAGAGCGTCCAGAAAGATAATCCTGAAACCAGTTAAGAAGAACACCAGATAAGCCATTTACTTTAAGTTTATGAATGAGGCCACGGTGCCAGACGCGGTCAAATGCTTTGGAAATATCGCAAAAGATAGCACGGACTTCTTTTCCTTCGTCTAGAGCTTGACAAAATGTGTGATAGATAGAAACTAGTTGATTGGTTGTTGAATCGTTCTTTATAAATCCAGATTGCAAAGGTGTTATGCAGTTATTAGATATGAAGAAATTAAAGACGTGTTTGTGAATAATACGTTCTAGCACTTTGCTGATTGTACTTAGTAAAGAGATCGGCCTATAATTAGAGGCAATAGTGGGATCGTTCTTCTTAAAAATAGCACAGACATTAGCCAGTTTCCATTGAGATGGGACCTTACCAGTTTCTATTGATTTATTAAAAAGATGAGAAAGTGGATGTGCCAATTCTTGAGATAGTTCTTTAAGTATTCTGTTGTTGATCATGTCGGGACCTGCTGCCTTTCCTAATGTTAATGACTTTAATGTATCTATTACTTCCTGCTGTGTGATAACTATTTTTTCTAACTGTGGTTTATTTGAATGTAAATGCAAGTTGGGAATTATTTTATTGGAATCATTTAGTAATGTCTGTGAATGAAAGAATTTATTAAGAAGGTTGGCTTTATCATATTCGGAAGTTAAAATGTTTCCATTATCTTCTAATATTTGTATACCCTTATTTCTTGTCGAAGTTGATATATGTTGTTTTAGAATTTTCCAGAAATCTGAAGGTGATAAATTTTCATTTTTAAGTTTGTCTGCAAGTTTCTGTGTTTGTTGCTGCTTTGCTTGTCTGAGTAACGTGGTTGTTTTATTTCTGATCTGTCTGTAAAGTTGCCAGTGATGTGGAGTTTGTGTTTTTTGTGCTTTATCATATGCGCGTTTACGTTTTCTGATTTGTTTCCTTAATTCATTATGCATCCATGGTGGTGATGATTGGCGTATTGTGACTATTTTGTTAGGTATATATTTAGCTGCAATGAGATTGATTGTGTCTGTTAATTGCTGTGTATAGATGTCTATGTCATCATTATGAATTGTATCCCATTGGAAAGAAGAAATCTCCCTTCTCAAACCTACATAATCACCTTTATCATATAGCCATACTTTTCTTTTGAAATTTTGCGAAGATGGTTTGGAGGAGTCAAGAATACAGAAAATAGGGCAGTGATATCCTACAGACTTGATCAAGAAAGGGGTCAGCGACGCCAGATACAGAAACTCTGCAATTCATCGAGACTAAAAATAGATCTATAAGGGAGTTTGAAGAAACAGTATAATGTGTTGGTTGTTGTATAACTTGAGTCAAATTGTATTGTGTTGCAATGCTATTGATTTTTGCTGCCGATGTATGTTTTTGCATGTCTAAGTTGAAATCTCCAGTTATAACTATATCAGATATAGTTGTGTCAAAAGCGAGACCGATTGACATTTCTATCTGAGAGAGCACAGAAGGGGAAGAATTCGGAGGACGATAGAAAGTACCAAAAAGAAGTTTCTTATTTTTAAGAAAAATCTCCAACCAAATACATTCCACACCTTGAATCTCTAGGTCGTATCTTCGAATTGCAGGGATAGTGTTTTTAACATAAACCAAAATACCTCCATGATTGTCCGTACCTCTGTCATTTCGAAAAGGGGGAGAATAATTATGAAAATGTAAGCAATCTGTATCAACAGCGGCGGACAGCCAGGTTTCTGTTATTGAGATAATATCAAACGGATCAAGTTCACCTTCCACGATATCCTTTTTCTTTAGAAAACATAGTTGATATTACCCTGTTTGGGTCAAACCCTCAACATGGGGTTGCAAGACTATAATTCAAGGACATAAATGAACTCTCATTTGTGACTTCCCATGTGATTGCTAGAATCTGTTATTGTAATTGTTTTAAATTAATTGAAATTATTTCAATTTAAAAATATACTAATATGTTCTTCATATTATACAATTTAAAACACACTGATCAGAATATGATTACACTGTCTGTATCTGTAACTGAAAATTTAGTCAGGAACATAACTAGTGCAAGCCCTTTCTATTTATTTTTTTGGTAAAATTCTGAAAGACTTTTGAAGTTATTGTGAAAAGGAATTTTTTTTTATAAAATGCAATTATTTTAAATCATTCAGTTATTTTTGCATCTTTTTGTTACCATGGCAACCAAAATACACCATTTTTGCAACCAGTGCATTAAAGAATATTTGTTTTGCATTGGATTCATATTTTATATGCTATCATGTTATAGATGTGCATTTTAAAGTTGACTAACTTAAGTTATGATATTAACCTTAATCATTGAAAAGTTACTGTAATTCTGAGAATTTAATTCTTATGTTTAAAGTTAATATCAATAACTATTAAAGGGTAAAATGAAAAATCCTTTTTTTCTGAAAAGTCTTTAATATTGTTGTCTTTTAATATAATATATGCATTAATTTTTTTTGGTGATGAATTAATCATGTTAAGTGCAAAAATATTGCATTTGATGATTTTTTTATATTTTTGTTGCCATGGCAACCGATTTTTTGAAAACAAACAATTGTTTTTATATCAAGATATTACATTATATTACACTAAGATGAATGGTCACTTAATTTTTTATTTTATTTTATTGTGTATAACTATGGAATTATTTCTAATTAGTATATACCAATAAAAGTTAAAAATATAATTTTTGTTGTTATGGTGATGTCATACAAATATGAATATTTCATAAAATATCAAGTATTTTTTAAAAATAATTGTTTCCAGCTATTCAGCAGATGTTGTTCTACCACAAACTAGTCATAACTCATTTTCGCCCAAATATCACATTTGGGCCAAAAATCGCTGAGCGCGTCACATATGTCTTCCAAAACTGTGTATGGTTCTGATCACTCCTTTGAATTTTGGCAGTTTAACATGTGATAGATTTTTCTATTTTTAACTCTGGGCGCCATTTTTTGCAGTGAAACGGAACATGCCGGGATGGCACTGTGCACTCCTGTGAAATTTCATTGAAATCTAACTAACAGTTTAAACACTACTTTTGTACTTTTATATTAGCTAAAGATAGAAAACATTATCAATTTTAATCCTATACTTATTAGAAGTATTTATTGGATTCATTATTCAAAATTAGATGAAAGAGCAAATGGAACAAAATATTTTCAAGATCTAGTATAATCTAAATGTTTTTAAAATCTAGTAGAATCAAAACTATACAATAAA